GTGATAAGAAGGTCAATTCAACAGCATTAAAAATATATACATTTTCCCCCCACACCAAAACACCTAAATTTAGTAACACATAAATACATTGACAAATGTGAAGGTAGAAATAAACAGAAATATGATAATAACTACCAGACTTCAATAACCCATTCTCAATAATGGATAGTCCCAACTGAAAAAAGAATAAGGGCAAAATTGAACAATACAATAGACCAAAGGGATTTAACAGATATATACAAAACATATTACCCAATGACAGCAGAATACTCATTCTTCTCAAGTGCACATGGAACATTTTCCACAATATAGACTATGCTAGGTCACAAAATCAAGACTTAAAAAATATAAATGACTGAAATCATCAGACGTGGAAGTGCATGCCTGAAATAGTAGCAACTCAGGAGGCTGAAGGCAGGAGGATCACAATTGCCAGCCTCAGCAATTTAGTGAGACCCTGTCTCAGCTCAGTGATAAAGCATCCCTGGGTTTAACTTCCAGTATAGAAAAAAACAAAACAAACCAACCAACCAACAAACAAAAAAACCCTGAAATCATTCAAAGTCTTTCCCAACTTCACTGCAATAAAACTAAAAATCAACAGTAGAAAATGGGAAAATTCTTAAGTATGTAGAAATTAAACAAGATCTTACATAATCATTGGGTTAAAAAAGAAATTAAAACTGAAATTAGAAAACATCTCCTATAAACCAAAATGAAAGAACAAAATACCAAAACTTATGAATCAAAAGCACTACTAAGAGGGAAGTTTATATTATAAAATGTTTGCATTAAGGAAGAAATTCTATAACAAGAAACCTACATTTTATCTCAATGAAATAATAACATGAAATTAGCAGAAGGAAAAAAAACCGAAAATTAGAAGAAATAGTGATTTTAAAAACAATAGAACAGGGACTGGGGTTGTGGGTCAGTAGTAGAGCACTCCCTTAGCATGGGTGAGGCAATGAGTTCGATCCTCAGCACCATATAAAGAAAAATAAAGGTAGGTGTCCATCTACAACTAAAAAATATTAAAAAAAAAAATACAATACAAACCAATAAGACTAGTTGAGTTGGATTTTTTAAAGAAAAAAAGAATGAACAAATCCTTAGTAAAACTAAGGGGATAAAAAGAAACTCAAATAAATAATATCAAAATGAAAGCAATGTTATACTTATGCTACAGAAATAAAAAGGATCATAAGGTACTATTATGAACATTATATACCAACAAATTGAACAACATGGAAGAAATGACAATTTCTAGAACCATACAATCTACCAAAACTGAATCAAGAAGAAACAGAAAGCTTGAATGATCAATGATAAACCAGGAACTTGAAGTAGTTAAAAAACAAACAAACAAACAAAAAAACCTCTGAACAAGGCCCAAGACCAGTTAATTCTACCAAACATTTAAAGAAGAATAAATACCATTCCTTCTTAAACTATTCCAATTAACAACAACAAAAAAAAAAAAACAGAAGAAATTCTTCCAAACTCATTGTATGAGGCCAGCATTAGCAGGATATCAAAATCAGATAAAGATACTACGAGAAAACTACAGGCCAAAATCCCTAATGAACACAGATTTAAAAATCCTCCATAAAAAACTATTAAACAAAATTACAACACATTAAAAGGATCATATTCCATGAATAAGCAGGATTTATCCCTGGCAAGGCAATGATGGTTCAATATATGCCAATTAATGTGATACATACCACATTATCAATATGAAAAATAAAATTGATGTAATCATTTCAATAGATGTATAAAATGTTGACAAAATTAAACAACTTTTCATGATTAAAAGCTCTCAAATTAGCTAAAACAGAACTTACCTTAACACATACACACAAAGACATTTATGAAAAAGCCCATAGCTATTGTCATACTAAAAATGGTGAAAAACTTAAAGCTTACCTTAAAAAATCTGGAACAAGGCAAGGTGCCCACTCTTGCCACACCTATTAAACACAGTACTAGAGGTTCTAGCCAGAGCAATTAGGCAAGAGAAATAAAAAAGCATCCAAATCAGAAAGAACTTAAATTGCAAAATGTTTGTTTGCACACATGAGTTTTAGCCTAAAGACTCCACTAAAAAATCTGTTAGAACTAAAAATGCATCAAAGTTGCAAGGTGTGAAATCAACATACAAAAATCAGTTGTATTTGTATATATAAAAAAAATCTCATTTACAATACTATCAAGAATAATAAAAAAGAATAAAATTAACCAAGGACATAAAAAACTTACTCACTTAATATTATAAAACACCAATAAAAATATTAAAGCAGACATAAGTAAATGGAAAGACATCCTATGTTCATATACTGCAAGAATTACTATTACCTAAATGTCCATACAATCAAAGTGGTCTACACATGTAATAAAATTCATACAAAAATACCAATGGCATATTTCAGAGAAACAGAAAACAAACAATTCAAAAATTCATAAGAAACCCTGAAAACAAAAACAATTTGGAATAAGAACAAAGCCAGAGTTTATCATACTTCCAGATTCCAACACATTATCACAAAAAGCTTGGTAATGGCTTTAAAACAGACACATAGACCAACAGGACAGAACAGAGAATCAAGAAACAAACCCACGTATAGATGGTCAACTTACTTTTGACAGAGATTCTAAAAATCTGACAATGGGGAAAGATGGTAGTGTCAAAAAAACTCAATATCCACATGAACAAGAATGAACTGGATCTTTTTATTGCACTTCACACACACAAAAAAAAATTCAAAATAAATCCAAAATTGATTTGAAACTTTAAATATAGGATCAGACACTGTAAAACTCTTAGGAGAAAACACAGGAATATCTTCTTGACATCGGACTTGGTAATGATTTCTTGGATACAACACCAAAAGTACAGGCAAAATAATAAAAAGATGATATCAAGTTAAAAAATTTAACCCTTGGGGCTGAAGCTGTGGCTCAGCAGTAAAGCACTCACCTAGCACGTGCGAGGCGCTGGGTTCAATCCTCAGCACCACATAAAAATAAAAACAAATAAAAATAAAGGTATTGTGTCCAACTACAACTGCTATGAAAAACAGTAATCAAAAAGAAAATATATAATCCAAAACTCCAATTTTGGGATATTTATGGAAAAGAACTGACATGAGGAATAAAAGTGATATTTGCACTCTCATGTTCAGAGCAGCATTATTTACAGTAATGATTTCTATATATATCACCAAAAGCACAGGCAACAAAAGCATAATAAAAAATGTGGGAAAGACCTAAATATTCATTAATGAACGAATGAGAAGAAAAATGATGTGTTTTAATGTATCAGTTAAAAATAAATTTCATTTAAATAAAATAAATGTGGTATGCTGTACACATACAATGGAAGATAATTCAAGCTCAAAAAAAGGAGAAATTCTTCCATTTATAAAATACAGATAATCTGGAGAAAATCATGCTAAATTAAATAAGCCAGTCAGAGAGGGACAAATATTGTATGATTCTACTAATATGAGATGACTGGAAAAAAAAAAAAGAGTACAATCAGTGGTTGTCAGGGGCTTGGGGGAGGGAGAAATGTTTACATAACTTCAGTTCCATGAGATGAATAATACTGTACTATATACTACGCTGCTAATTTTGGAAAGATTTTATATATATTCAGGAGGCAAGCTTCCTAATTAGACTTTGTAAAGTTTCCAGCATGAGTAAATGAATATATAGAAATGAACACTGAAGAAAATTTTGTTTTGTTTTGAGAGAAGTAGAGCAGTCAGAAGGCAAATTAAAAACTGTGCTTTGGACATGAAAAGTTTGGAGTACCTATGAGACATCCTAATACGCGACATCAAATAGGTAGAAAGCGTATAAATTTATTTTATTAAGCACTGAGCACAACGAATAAAATACGAGAAAATTTAGATAAAACCTAAAAAAGTATTTAAAAATCTTCATTCATGACAACTTTTAAATTAAAGTCTCAAATAAGAGACTATTTTAATTCCTCTCACACATAACCAGTGACTATTTCCTTATTCCCTTGGATTGTGTGGTATATTCTATGATGTTCCCCAAATACAGAAAAGAAAAAAGAGGTATTTAAGGTACTTTTAGATTAGCCAAGAAAGATATCATACAGCCGAAAAACAGAGAAAATATAAATTTTTATCAATTTGGGAAGATGAAAATTTCAACTCATGTGTAAATGATGGACACACATACACTCACAAAGTTATCAACTGAGTTTATGCAGTCTGCCTGCATAAATCATGGGATGCTCCAAGATTACTTAAATGGAAGGCTCATTTAATAAAATAAGAAGCCGGGAATATCAAGATTGATTTTAAAAAAAAAACCAGTTTTGTCATTAAGTAGCAGTCAAAGAATCTGTGCTGTTTCTCTTCAATAAATTGAAGATTTATTGTGTTCTACTTGATCTTTAATAATACAATAATGGAATGTGATGAAATATGTGAAATTACTTATAATAAAGGCAGAAAGGTCAATTAAGTATGTGTGTGTACATGTGTATGTATTTGGCTTTTAGGGACTTCAGCTTTTTAACTTGAAAAATGTCCTTATGAATGAAAGATCAACTTCATTTCATTTTCTAATGCTTTCCGTTCAATATGACAAGGAAGAATAAAATACTCAACCAGCGAAAAGGAAGTTATTGGTACAGGAACTGACTTTAAAAAGATCTCATTATTAATTAGAAAAGTATCATATACAGAGAGTTTTTAAAAATATTTTTATGTGGTGCTGAGGACTGAACCCAGTGCCTCATACCTGCTAGGTAAGCACTCTATTACTGAGCTACCAACCCCTGCCCTACAGAGGTATTTTTATACCTCAAGAAAATAATTTTTTTACAAGTAAACAGTGTTTCCCAAAAGTTGGTACAACATTAAATACTTTAATATAAATGTAACCTGGCATGACAAATATTCTATGTTGAAGAAATGCTGTTGATCTAATAATACAATTTTTTAAAAAATGCACACCTTTTCCTCCAGTTTCTTCTTCTCTTCACTGAATTGGTTTATTCTTTGCTTGAGAAATTCATTGAGCTGTGAAACCTCTTTTTCAGTAGATGCAAGCTTCTGCTCAAGTTCCTCTTGCTGGGGATGCAACACTGACTGCTCCGAAAATGGAGTCTGGAGTGAAGTGTTCTCATATTGTGGCTATTGGGAAAGAAAAAAAGTAGGCAGTTAAGATTTTAAAAGTTTACTTAGGAGACACTGTTTCTCTGTGAGGTGAGTGAAAGAGGGATTTTGCTAAAACTCAATATTGGGCAGTCAGAGTGCCTCAGAGACTAAGAAATTTTGGGAACATTAACAAGGAAAAGGGACAACACTGGAGTCAAGCTGCTTGGGGGAGCATTGGCATTAGCACAGAAGGAAGGAAGTCACTGAGAAATACAAAGGATGGTCTTAGTACTGAAAAACCTGGGATTGCAGGGGCAGCCTGCCCTAGGCCGATTCAGAGGCTGGACGGTACAATAAACTGGTACATGAAAAATGCCTTGTTTTTCCCAATTGTCCACAGAGAACTGAGGCAGGAACCATCTTGAGGCATCCACACTGCAGTAGCACCCACAGGAACCAGGAACTAGGATCCATGAGACTGGAGCTGGGACAACCCATGGAAAAAATAGGCAGAGACTATTTTGCCCAGGAGAATACAAGTCTGAGAGGCCATAGAGAGCCCAGCTCCTTCCTCTGTCTGAATCCGGCAACTCACAGAACCAACTGAAGTGGTTCAGGAATTTTAATGGGCAGGTATGACCACACTTGGGGACAAAGCCCAAGAGGCCAGTAAAGGCTGATTCTCCAGGCAACAGAAGCTGAAGGACTGGCTCCCCTCCCCTACAGTGGAATCCTGAGGTGACTACTGGGGTACAGTATCCCAGCATAGATCAGCACCCTAGAGGTACATTGATTTGGTATTCCAAACTGCTCGCCATTCATTAAAGCAAGTGGGGCCTCACTAGACCTAAGCTCCATCTTTGGGAGCTCTACCTATAGGAATTCCTCTCACAGAACCTAGCAGTGACTTTCCCATCCCGCCCTACTTCATACCACCAAAGGGAAGATGAGAATTTGTGAACTTCAACTGGTACTTTGGTGCAAAACAAAAAAAAAGTGGGGGGGGGAGGATTTGATAGCCTGCTGCCCCTACTCTTGTACTTGGGGCATATCTCAAGAAGAAATGGAAAGACAGTTGGGCACAGACAGCTACCATATTTTCTCATTGACTATTTTGTCAACGGACATGGAAATTATTCCTTAATTTTTCATCCAGATTCTCTTTTGTGCGTGTGTGTGGTAAGTGATTCATGGACATTTATACATTTTTGTTTTTATCTTCTCATTTCTAGAATTTTTTGAAGGTAGTTACTACTCTGTCTTTGAGGGTTAGAGTTTCCATTAGTATACTGACTGTTTTGAATTGTTTTTCACTTGTCTGTTTCCCTTGCTCCTCTTTCTCTCTTTTCTTTTGCTGACAGCCAAATTCTATTGTTCTTACATTCTTCCTTTTACTTTTTACTTCTATTTTCTCCCCCCACCTCATAACTACCACATCCAACATTTCCTCTTTATTTTCCTTGTTCACTTTTTGAAATTGCAAACTCTTTTCAACCCACCTATCTCTTCTTATTTCCTAATTAATTCTAGTCTTAAAATTTTTTAGCAATAATTGTTTTATATAACATCTGCTCCCAACACTAAAGCTGTAACAATGCTGCAGAAATCATAGATAACACCTCGTTTGATTTTATGCCAGACACAATACGATTCTTACTGTTTTAGTAAACTGCTGATCCTACTACTTCTGTTCATTATACCAGTTAATATTGTAGATGTCATAGTAAGAACCAAGTGTTTAGTTTAATGCTGTATATTGTTTGCATGGTTTGTTACTATTATTTCTCTCCCCTAATCTGTGAGGTAATGGAAACCAACAAGACATTACTAAGTTCTTAGGGTAGGAACCCTGGAGCTGAAGCAGCAAACAATATGAAAAAGCAAGAGAAAAAAAACATCCAAACAACCCAGAATGCCTCAACAATGAACTCCATTGTCACCACAGTGGGGAAAATGTCAAAGAAGGAATTTACAAAGTCACGTAGTTAAACTGATCTACAACGTAAAAGATAACATGAGAAGTAAAACAGAGAAAATATTTCAAAAAGGAGATAGAGATTCTGGAGAAAAATCAATTAGAAATTTTTGAAATAAAGAAATCAATAAAGCAAATTAAAAGTTTGATGGAAAGCATCAACAATGGATTAAGCCATTTAGAAGATAGAGTTTCAGGTAACAAAGTCAAAACACATTATTTTGAAAATGAAGTTATTCTTAAAGAAAAGATATTAAAAGACCATGAGCACAATTTTCAAGAAAGTTGGGATAACATTAGAGGCCATCTTTAAAGATTCACCAGGATAAATAAAGACTCTGAAATACAAACCAAAGGAATGTACGATCTCTTCAATAAAATAATATCAGAAAATGTTCCAGACCTTAAGAATGAAATGGAAAATCAAATATGAGGCATACAGAACTCCAAATATACAAAATCACAACAAACCCATCCCAAGACACATTGTTACAAAAATCTATCATACAGAATAAGGATAGAATTTTAAAAACTGTTAGAGAAAAATGATTGTTCATATTTAGAGGTAAAGCAATCCAGAAGCTAGGAGGTCTAGAAGCTAGGAGGTCTTGGAATAATTTATACCAAGTTCTGAAAGAAAATGGATGCCAACCAAGAATACTATACCTATCAAAATTAAGCTTCAGAACTGAAGATGAAGTAAAATCTTTCATGATAAACAAAAATAAAAAAGAATTCACAGGGGGCTGGGAATATAGCTCAGTTGGTAAAGCGCTTGCCTCATATGCACAAGGCCCTGAGTTCAATCCCCAGCACCACACACACACACAAATGAATTCACAACTAGAAAGCCTACACTATAAAACATACTCAATAAAATATTTCATGAAAATAAAATAGTAGAGTAGTAGAGGGAAGAACTACACTAGAAGAAGAATGAATCAAAGAAGAAATTAATTCAAATTAAAAACTAGAAATAAATCAAAATGACAGAGAATAAAAATCATCTCAAAAAGAACACTGAATGTAAATGGTCTTTTACACTCATCAATCCAAAGCCATAGGCTGGCAGACTGGATTAAAAAAACAAGTCTCAACAATATGCTGTCTCTAAGAGACAAAACATCAATAGGGCAAAAACATCAATAGACTGAAGTGAAAATATGGGAAAAAAATAGATCATTCACATGGATCTCGTAAACAAGCAGGGATTACTATTCTCATATCAGACAAAGTAGACTTCAAGTTAATCAGAAGAAACAAAGAAGGTCATTTTATACTGCTTAAAGGAATCACACAACAAGAAGAAATGACAATCAAAAATACTTATGCCCTAAACAATGGAGCACATTCATACATCAAACAAACCCTTTTCAATAACAAGAAACAAAAGACCACATCACAATAATACTAGGTGACTTTAACATACCTCTCATCACTTCATAGATCTTCCAAACAAAAACTAAAGAAGCTATGGAACTAAAAAAATACAATCGAACAATTTAGACTTAACAGAAATATATAGAATATTTTAACAATAACTGAATATACTTTCTTTTCAGCAGCATATGGAATATTTTCTAAAAAAGACCATATTTTAGGCCAAAAAGAAATTCTTAGCAAATACAACATAATAGAGAATAGTACCTCACATTCTATTAGATCATAATGAAATGAAAGTAGAAATCAATGGTAAGATAAAAAGAAACTATTACCTGGTGAGTAAATAATATACTATTGAATGATGAATGAATAACAGAAGAGAAATCAGGGGTAAAATTTTTAAAATACTTAGAAGTAAATCAGAATATATATGATATGTATGTCATATGATTTTGATATGTTGTATCATATCAAAATCTCTGAGAAGATTTTGAAGGCAGTTCAAAGAGGAAAATTCATAGCATTGAGTGCATATATTAAAAGAACAGAAAGATACCAAATAAATAATCTTACACTACACGAACCACACACGCCAAACAAAACAGCCTCTCAGGAAAAACCCTCAGAGCCTCAACTGCCACCACCGGCTTTCCACAGCCTCTCTCTCTCACACAAGCTTCTCTCCACCTCCCACAATCCTCCTGCTCTTGAGGCCGATTGGCTGGGTCACGTGGGCGGAGCCAAAAAAGTCCCCCAATGAGCAGCTCTGTGGTCTGAAAGGGCAGGGAAACAGCCCAATGAGCATCACCGCAGAGGAGCCAATCAGCTAGATGTTGCTGGGGCCGCTGTGAGCCAATCATCAGCCGGCAGCTGGAAGTTTGCTGGGGCCCCTTGGGCTGTGGCTCTCAACAGTTTTCCAAATCCTTCATTTCCCCTCATTCCTCTGGGCCTCTTCACATCTTGTATGGTGTGCCTCAAACACTGTTCTTCTGCTACTCCTTTCACCTGGCTAAATTCATTTAGTTTATTGGTTCTCAGATTAGATATCACTTCCAACAGTGAGACTACTCTGACTTTTGGAAGATTAATTTATACATTCTCAGTAGGGGTTCTCACAGAACTTCATATATAACCACTTTGGGTACTTCCAACATTTGACAATAGTCTGTTGTTTGCCTTTGTTTCTTTTAAGATTACACATTCTTTCAAGCAAAACCAAATTCACTCACATTTATATTACTAGAGCTGAAATAATATCTTTTCCATAGTGAATACAAATAATTTTAATGTAAATGGATAAATTTTGTATATAGTCTCCTTCAACAGGATTTGAGATCATGAAGATATAAATTGTTCTTTACACTTGTGCCGCCAACATTTAACACATTAGATGATTAATGGTTTATAAAACAGGCTTGTCTGTAAAGGTGGAACTTACTTATTAAATGCTTATCAGAACCAAAGGACTTGGTAGCAGAAAAAAAAAATAAACGAAAAATAGAAGAAAATGACATAAATGGAAAGAAAAAGGATAGAACAATTCATTAATAAAGTTTAAAAATACATTTCATTAAGTTGATATTTTCAAGGTATACATGTATATGGAAAAAAGAAATCTCTTCAACTAACAAAATAAAAAACAGTTCCTTCATATTTATTTTTCCCATAAGACATTCTAACTGTAGATTTAAACTTAATATGTAGATTTAAACTTAATATGGTTTAAACCAAAATTTCTAAGTATAAACTGCTCTTTAATGCTATTAATCATAAAAATTATCTGAAAAGTTTTCAGTTTTAGGAAAACACATGGTTCTTGTGTCCAGCAATGAGATGTGTAGTAATAGCTACTTTTAAGGAGACATCTTAATTATAATCTTATTAAGTTTTTAATAGTCAAATGGAAATTACTTCTCAAGAATGTTTTCCATCTATAAATTAATAAAATTTTATAAATTTTACAAATTGACTTCACTTTAGAATATGCAGAATAGAAGTCTAACTTTGTTTTTCAAATGTACTAATGGAATTATTCAAATTATGAAACAAAAATTTTGTGAAACACAGAAAATAAAAATTTTATGAAACAGAAAATTCTATACATAAAAAATTAATGTTAAGATCTCAGGTAAAAATTATTTTGCTAAAGAAATGTTTTATTATCATCTTATTTCTTCTATCCTTTGCCATTTTATTAGATTTCTATATCTAGTTCATAGAAAAAAACTTACCATCTATATTTATTATACCCACTTAGTATTTTCCTTATATTACCTTTTATAAACTGTTCTGACATTTTTAAATCAATTTTAATGATATTTCAATTCTCTATGTGATTCAAAATTCTAATATTTTTAGCCACACCTTTTCCATATCCTACAGATAGTTTTATCTGACCTTGCAGACTAACATGGAGAGCCCTCTACTGGCCTAGTGTTATGCTTTAAAAAAAGAAAAAAAAAAATTCTTTTTTTAGCCCTCAGATACCTATTTTTACATTCTTTTGGTAATATAACCATATAATTCAAGAAAAACACTTATTTAGAATACTGATTTATAAGAAGAAACTGGTTCTACTAAGATTACCATTAACAAATCAAATTAGACTAGATACACAGCATAAAAATACTATTAATCTCAGTACTATACCATAGAAGCTTGTTATTATGTGATTAAAGTCATATGAAATCATATATAAATGAAGTATTTTGATTTATTAGTAACTTAAGTATAGAAAGCAAGCTGGAATCTTTGTTAAACGCCTCTGCTTCAGGTAAATCCAACAGTTATTTGTTCTTCAATATTTTCTGATTCCATGTCTTTAATATTTATAAGTAACATACCGAAGATACAATGAAGGAAAAATTCCACTTCAAGTAATTTTTTTTTAAATCTAGGAATAAAACCTTAACAAAGAGGACCAAATTTTCCAAAAAAAAAAAAAAAAAATAGAAGTACATACCACCAGAAAGCTAAATCAGGCCTCACTTTTGATCCCAATAAAAACACCACCACCCCACTTTTGGGGAATAAACGTGTCAATAAAGTTTATATATAAAACAAAAAGAAGTGTTAAGGAAAACTCTTAAAAAGCAACAACTGGAGAAAATAGCCCTTCAGCTAGATAAATTTTGTTGCAAGTTCTCACAGATCCTTACATTGTTATTACAGGGAAAACCAACATTCACATTTCTAGACCCAAGGCCTAGATACTGCTTTATCCTAGCGAATACAGTATTTTTTTTTTTTGGGGGGGGGGGGGGGAGAATAAATGTGCTTTCACATATGGTTCCTCCCTCTGTAAATTCTAAGATCCACAAAAGCAGAAACTTTTCTTCACTTTTGTCACCTCAAAATTTAACACGGGATGTTTAATGATTGATTTTTAAACGGGCTCATTTGTAAAGGTGGAAGTCATTTATAAAATACTCATTCGAATTTGAGTTTACAGTAGGAAAAAAATGGAGGAAAAAGAAACAGGATTATATAAATAGAAAATATGACAAATTTGGAAAAACATATTTTCCAATCAAAGTACAGACAAAAGGCTAATTTCTTCTATACATAATTTTTATTTTTATGTATATTGTTTGTATAAAATTAGCAAACCCCCAAAACCTAACAGAAAAATGAGCAAAGAATATGAAAAGATAATTCAAAGAAAGAGAAATATGAAGCAATCTTTTAATATATAAAAAGAAGCTTAACATCACTATTAAGAAATATATGTTGAAGCCATATGGAGATAACTCCCTCCAATCATGACTTTTATATAACTTAACAAAGGGCAAAAATTCCAAAAGTTTGGTAACAGATTCTGTTAGTATGGCTGAGAGGCAGGAAGTAGAAGAGGGGAAGTCATACATAATGCTTTCCTGAATGGCAATTTGACAATATCAATAAAAATTACAAACTTCATAAAACACTGAGAAGTCTTATCTGAAAAGTTTTCAGTTTTAGGAAAACACATGGTTCTTAAAAAGAAAAAATAATTTATGAAAATATTTGCACATGACTCAAAGAATATTTATAAAAGGCTATTGAGAGTATCATTTATTAAAGATCAAACAGAAAATAACCCAAATTTTGGTGAACAGAAAATAGACTAAAAGCATGCTATTTTTCTAAAATAGAAAAGAAAGTAGTGTTATCTATGTAGTGGTATGAAAATAATGACTGAATTTTATACAATTTTAAATAATATAAGGGAAAAAACAAGATGCCAATGCCCATATTGATATTTCTTATAAATACAAGGGAATAAAATATATTTACATCTGCTTATATGTATCAACTCTGAAAGTATACACTAGAAACTGGTAACAATAGCTTCTGCTATATGTGGGAAGAACTGGACAAAAGGAAGATTATAGGTGGACACCTTTTGCCACACATACAAATATGAACCATGTAAATATACTAATTTAAAACCTTCATTTAAAATGTCCTGATTTTATAAGCTAGGTATATTATTAATACAATTTACTATTAAACAACAACTACAAAATCCTCTGTAGTCTTACCTGCAAACTAGCCACATAAGAATCTTCACAATTTACATAATGCCCTAACATGGCATGTTGTGCCCGTAGTTCATTATCCCTTATCCTCTCATGTAGGTGGGTGATTTGTTGCTTTTGCCTATAAAATACAAATTGAGATCATATTATAAAGAATGTACTTCTCTAAGAAACAGTTAAAAGCAATTTTAGTATTTAAAAATTTTACATGAGATTTTAAAACCACTATAAATTTTAGAAACCATAAGAGGAAATTTGTTTAGTTTTTTTAATATGCAGAATTAAAGTTGAATTTATACACACTCTGGAGTAGTTCTAGTACTTGTGCAGAATGTGGTCTTTAATGGATATTCTTTTTTAAAAAAAAAGAGAGAGAATTTTTTTAATATTTATTTTTTAGTTTTCGGTGGATATAACATTTTTATTTTATTTTTATGTGGTGCTGAGAATCGAACCCAGCGCCCCGCGCATGCCAGGCAAGCATGCTACCACTTGAGCCACATCCCCAGCCCACATAGATATTCTTTTTAAATTCTAACAACATCATGCTTTGCTTTCTTTCTTCTTGCTACCTAACATAATAAATGTTACCTCCTAGTCTGAAATGTCATTATTTAAAACTGTTATTTTCATTCATCCAAAATCTACTGAATGGTTTATACCAATAAAAGTTATTGATAATGATAATCTCATTGTCAGGGGAGAAAGCTATTTTTATAAAGATCACCCAACCCAATTACCATTCTAGGAGGATCATGAGGTCAAAGGATCAAAGCCAGCCTTAGCAATTTAGGAAGGCCCTAAGCAGTTTAGTAAGATCCTGTCTCAAAATAAAACATTAAAAAAAGAAAGCAGGGAAGTGGCTCAGTAGATAAGTACCTTTTGGTTCAAACCCCAATACCAAAAAAAAAAAAAAAAAAAAAAGAGAGAGAGAGAGAAGAGAGAAGAGAGAGAAATACACACAGAATAAACAAACAAAATTAAAATCTCAGAATCTATCAGAGAGCTAGGGGACTATTATAAGAGACCAAATACATGTAAAACTGGAATCCTCCAAGGAAAGATTAAAAAAAGTGAGGTAGGAACACCAAAAAATATTTATATATATTGAATCAGAATTTTTCCAAATTTGGTAAGAACCATAGGCATCAACAGATTTCAAAAGAAAGCATGTGAACCCAAAGCACAAGTAACATGAAGAAAACTATAGCAAAGTACACCTTAATCAGTGGCTTAAAAGCAGTGGAAAATCTTACAAGTAACGAGAGGGAAAAAAGATAAATTCATTTAGAGAGATACAGGTAAAGAGGAGGCCAGATTTCTCATCTGAAATAAGACAAGTGAGAAAAGAGAGAAGTGCTTTAAATAACTAAAATTTAAAAGCTCTCAAGTTTGAAATTTTTTTTAACTTTTTATTTTTGCTGTGACAGATATCAAATTCTTTTTCTCAACTTATGTTTTTTTTTATTAGTGCATTAAAGTTATGTATAATATTTGGGTTCACTTTGACAATGTATGATTTTTATACACACAAGGAATTTAATTTACCCCATTTCAGTCCCCGGTTCTCCACCCTCTTTCTCTTTCTTCTTCCTTTCCCCTCTTCTCCTTCCTCAACTCTACTGTTCTTCCTTTCATTTATTTATGTATAAAAGTGGAATTCCCTGTAGTATATTTATACATGGACATTGCATAATTTTGTCAAATTCATCCCACATTTTCTCCCCTTTCTTGTCCCTCCTTCCTCCCCCTTAATCTGCTTTTACTACACTGCTGTCTTCCCTAAATCTTAATGATATACAATCTCCTTTTTTCTCAAATATGAGGGAAAACATTTGACCTTGATTTTCTGAGTCTGGCTTATTTAACTTAGCATGATGTTCTCCTGTTTCATCTTGTTATTGGAAAATGCCATAATTTCATTATTATGGATAAGTAAAACTCCATTGTGCTTATATACACCACATTTTCTTAATCTATATCTATTGCTAGGCATCTGGGCTGGTTCCATAACTTAGCTATTGTGAATTGTGCTGCTACATGCACTAATGTGACTATATAACTATAATATAGTGATTTTTAGTTCTTTTGGACAATATCAAGGAGTGAGATACTTGGGGTCTTAATAGTGGTTCCATTTATAGTTCTTTGAGGAGTTTCCTTACCGCTTTCCAGACTGGTTGTACTAATTTGCAATTCCACTAGCTATGTATGAGTGTACCTATTCCTCACCAGCATTTATTATCATTTGTATTCTTGATAACTGTCATTCTGACTAGAGTGAGATGAAATCACAATATAGTTTTGATTTGAATTTCCCTAATTGTTAAATGTTGAACATTTTTCATAAATTTATTGGTCATTTGCATTTCCTCTTTTGAGAAATATTTGTTTTTAGTTCTTTTGCCCATTTATTGAGTTTGGAGGGGTATTAAGCTTTTTGAGTTCTTTTTATATTCTGGATAATGATCCCTTATCAGAGGAATAGCTGGCAAAGATTTTCTCCCATTCTATAGGTGCTCTCTTCATGCTCTTTAATCATGTCTTTTACTGTGCATAAAACTATAATGCCATCCCACTAATTGATTCTTGGTTTTATTTCTTGATCTTTAGGGGTCCTGTTAAGGAAGTTGGTAACTGTGCCAATATGTTGGAGTGTTGACCCTATGTTTTCTTCTAGCAATTGCAAAGCTTCTGCTCTAATTCCTAAGTCTTTGAGCTGCTTTGCTTTGATTTTTATACTGGGTGAGAGATGGGGATCTAATTTCATTCCTCTACATATAAATATCCAATTTTCCCAGATCAGTAAAAGAGTTTTTTTTCTCCAACATATATTTTGGAATCTTTGTCAAGCATCAGATGTTAAGTATGTCGGTTCAACTCTGTGTCTTCTATTCTATTCTACTGCTCTTCTTGACTATTTTGATGGCAGTGCCATGCTGGATTTTTAATGTAACTCTTTAGTGTAATTTGAGTTCAGGTATTATGATGCCTCCAGTATTGTTCTTGCTTGGGATTGCTTTGGATATTCTGGGTTGCTTAATGTTCCAAATGAATTTTAGGATTGTTCTTTCTGTGAAAAATGTCAGTGGTATTTTGATAGGGATTGCACTGAATCTATACAGTGCTTTTGGTAATATGGTCATTTTGACAATATTAATTCTCCCTTCCCATCTTATAAGGTAGTTTTTGATTTCTTTCTCCAATGTTCTATAATTTTCATTTTAATTTTCGCCTCCTTAGTTAGCTTAATTTCCAAGTATATGTATTTTTTTAGGTTACTGTGAATGGAATGGCTTTCGTGATTTCTTTCTCAGCAGAATCACTGTTGGGGTATAAGGAGCTATTGATTTATGAATGTTGATCTTGTATCTTGCTACTCTGCCAAATTCATATATCAGGTAGTATATTAGTTTTCCTTTACATATATTCATTCATTTAATCATCATGCTATAAAATTGGATGGAAGAGGAGAGTTGCTTAAAACGATGGTCTTCAAAAACTTCATTTTTAAGTGGGTGAAAGTCCTTTAACTGAGGCAGATGAGTAGACCAAAGTGCAAAAGGTCAGGCACTTCATTCAGAATCATCAAAATAGTTACAATGGCAAATATAATAAACAGTAAACTAGGTTTCTTGTTTTATGAGTTGTTTTTGAAATTAAACTATACATGTTTTCTCAAGAAATGGGGCACATTTAGGAGCACAGTTATGTTTCCTAAACTTTTATCCCACTTTGACCTAATTATCCAACAATCTATTTCAAAGGATTTGACGTAATTATCCAATAGGATAAAAAAGCACATTTTTCTCATAAATGCAGGTAACCTAATATTTTCAAAAATAATATCTTACAAATAATTTTTAGAAAAGAGATTTGGAAGGTATGATCAACCACACCATATCCCAAATTAAAAAACTCAGGACCTTTATTCTGGTTTCCATCCCAGAGTAATTCTAACTAATGATATTTAAGTCTATTAGTTTAATCTATTTCCTCAAAAAATAAATGGATATTTAGTTCTTTTTTAAGCACTATAAATGTTACGGAGATTTTTAAAAACATTTTTATTTTTAAATGCTAGTATATTACTTTAGAAACAAAAGCTGCTGGTTGATAAAAATATTCTTCCTCAAACTATTTCCCAATTACCACAATACACACTTAATTATCCCAAAAGTATACATAAATGATGTAGAGCCAATATATGTCAAAGAGAATATAATCAAGTAACATTAAAGTCTACTGCTCAGAATAATCAGGAGACTAAGTATAAATTAATTTATTTTTCAGAGATTTGGTACTCAAACATTCAAAAATTTTGGAATGTCCAAGAAAACTTCCATAATTTTTATCTATAAATTATTTAACTTTAAACATTCATCATTTTCATAGTTTCTGTGGTTCAGACCTAATATACATTAAAGGAAATAATGACTTTTAAGTAGTTTTCCAAATTGATAGTCCCTAAATGTTAAACAAAAGACAATATTTTGTACCTCTGATAATTCATTAGCTTTGCAACTAACCTGCTACATATATTAAAAACACAAAGAGAACCTTCCAAATAATACATTAACACTAAAGTGAATAAAGATGAAGATAGTAATCAGGCATTACCAGCAGGTGAGAAACAAAACCTCTGTTCTAAGAAGTCTTGCTTTCCCCTTTATGGGGACTAGAGAGGGACAAAGGTGCCATCAGTGAATTTTGTAAATTGTAGTTCTCTAATTTAAAGTAGTGGGTGCAAATGTATTTGTTTCATTAATCTACATTTCTATATACCTGTAATATATAGTAAATAAAAAACAGACTCACCGATCAATTACAATCTCTTTCTGTCTTAGAAGTCCTTCTTTTATTTTCAGCACCGATTCCCATTTACTGAAATCCTGAAAGCCAGAAGGTGAATAGCTTTGACGAGATGATCCAGTCAAAACCTGAACAAACATGTTTATACTATTAGTATACTAAAAGTTTCTAAATGGAATATTTACATACCTTTAATATTTTCACAATAATATTCATTCAAAACTAAAGCAGTCTCTTTGATTTTTAAAGACTATCTGATATCACATTTGTGATTATAACATAATAAAGAATTTCAATAAAGTTCCAAGGAAATGTACAAGTCTAATGAAGACCTGATGACAACAGGACATTTAGTCTGGCTAATGTAATACCATATATGAGATCTGAGTCTCTCATCACCTTGTGAATGTAGAAGCTTTCTAAAAATAAGAGATTAATTATTGCTTCAAGAAGTAATACAATAAAAGAATGTGTATCATGGCTTAACTAGACACATTACAAAGATTACCACAAAAAATAAATGCAATATTTATAGTATTCTGACTTCTAATTGTCATGCATCATATTTTATCATTTAATTAAAATTTCAAAATCAGGCGTGTTTTAATGAGGTAGTACATATATCCACAGAAAATATGATTAGTACCCAGATATAATTTGGATGATTACTAGTCTCCAGTGCAAATTATAGAATTTAGAAAAAATATACTTAGAATTTAAGAAAAATTTCAGATATTTAAAGTAAAACAATAGTTCTTGAGTATTGAGATGGCGGCGAATGGAGTGCATCACCCCCATGTACCGCATCACTGCGTGGGCGAATGACGAGTTAGAATGGCCAAAAGCTATCTTGTTAGGAATTTCCAGCAAAATTGGGGTGCACCGAAACCTAGAGGAAGGATTTCCATCGCCCGAGGATCGGTTACTGGGGGCTCAACCGCGCGAGATTTGTCCGCCTGGAGATTCAAGCTGCTTATTCAGCAGCTCGCCCCGCTGCTAGAGACTGCGGCAAGCCGAGAAACGGTGTCCATAGAAATGGCGAGCTAGCAACGCATAGAAACGGCGCTGCTGATTCTGCGGGCTCCTGCCGGCTGTGCCCTCACTGTGCTCAGTGCTGAATGCTGGGTTTGAGACGGGGGAAGGAAGCGGTCCAGTTCTGTCCTCCACACCGGTCAGACCACCGACGAAGCCAGCGGCCACCATCTTGGAGAGCTGACGTCACCATCGCCAGTTTTCGGCTGATCGCAGCTCATTCAGCGATATGATAGGAAAAGACATACACAGGTTGAAAGTGAAAGGCTGGGAAAAATCATACCACTCACATGGTCCTCGGAAGCAAGCAGGAGTGGCCATACTCATATCGAATAAAACCAACTTTAAACCTAAGTTAATCAAAAGGGATAAAGAAGGCCACTATATACTGTTAAAAGGAACCATCCACCAACAATACATAACAATTATCAATATGTATGCACCAAACAATGGTGCTGCAACGTTCATAAAACAAACTCTCCTCAAGTTCAAAAGTCAAATAGACCACAACACAATAATTATTGGTGACTTCAACACACCACTCTCTCCATTGGACAGATCCACCAGACAAAAACTGAATAAAGAAACTATAGAACTCAATAACACAATTAATAAACTAGACTTAACTGACATATATAGAATATATCAACCATCATCAAGTGGATACACGTTCTTCTCAGCAGCATATGGATCCTTCTCAAAGATAGACCATATATTATGCCATAGGGCAACTCTTAGAAAATATAAAGGTGTGGAGATAATACCATGCATCTTATCTGATCATAATGGAATGAAACTGGAAATCAATGATAAAAGAAGGAACGAAAAATCCTGCATCACCTGGAAAATGAACAATATGTTACTGAATGATCAATGGGTTACAGAAGACATAAAGGAGAAAATCAAAAAATTCTTAGATATAAATGAAAATACAGACACAACATATCGGAATCTATGGGACACAATGAAAGCAGTTTTAAGAGGGAAATTCATTGCCTGGAAGTTCAGTCCTCAATAAAAGAAAAAAAACAACAAATAAATGAACTCACACTCCATCTCAAAACCTTAGAGAAGGAAGAGCAAAACAACAGCAAATATAGTAGAAGGCAAGAAATAATTAAAATCAGAGCGGAAATCAACGAAATTGAAACAAAAAAAAATTGAAAAAATTGATAAAACTAAAAGTTGGTTCTTCGAAAAAATAAATAAGATCGACAGACCCTTAGCCATGCTAACGAAGAGGAGAGAGAACTCAAATTACCAACATACAGGATGAAAAAGGCAATTTCACAACGGACACTACAGAAATACAGAAGATAATTAGAAATTATTTTGAAACCCTATATTCCAATAAAATAGAAGATATCGATAAATTTCTTAAGTCATATGATTTGCCCAGATTGAGTCAAGAAGATACACACAATCTAAACAGACCAATAACAAAGGAGGAAATAGAAGAAGCCATCAAAAGACTACCAACCAAGAAAAGCCCTGGACCGGATGGGTATACAGCGGAGTTTTACAAAACCTTCAAAGAAGAATTAATACCAATACTTTTCAAGTTATTTCAAGAAATAGAAAAAGAAGGAGATCTTCCAAATTCATTCTATGAGGCCAACATCACCCTGATCCCGAAACCAGACAAAGACACTTCAAAGAAAGAAAACTACAGACCAATATCTCTAATGAACATAGATGCAAAATTCCTCAATAAAATCCTGGCGAATCGAATACAAAAGCATATCAAAAAACTAGTGCACCATGATCAAGTATAATTCATCCCTGGGATGCAAGGCTGGTTCAATATACAGAAATCAATAAATGTTATTCACCACATCAATAGACTTAAAGATAAGAACCACATGATCATCTCGATAGATGCAGAAAAAGCATTCGACAAAGTACAACATCCCTTTATGTTCAAAACACTAGAAAAACTAGGGATAACAGGATCTTACCTCAACATCGTAAAAGCTATATATGCTAAGCCGCAGGCTAGCATTATTCTGAATGGAGAAAAACTGAAGGCATCCCCTCTAAAATCTGGAACAAGTCAGGGATGCCCTCTATCACCACTTCTATTCAATATAGTTCTCAAAACACTGGCCAGAGCAATTAGACAGATGAAAGAAATTAAAGGCATACAAATAAGAAAAGAAGAACTTAAATTATCACTATTTGCGGATGATATGATAATATATCTAACAGACCCAAAAGGGTCTACAAAGAAACTGCTAGAGTTAATAAATGAATTCAGCAAAGTGGCAGGATATAAAATCAACACATATAAATCAAAGGCATTCCTGTATATCAGCAACAAATCTTCTGAAATGGAAATGAAGACAACCACCCCATTCACAATATCCTCAAAAAAAATAAAATACTTGGGAATCAACCTAACAAAAGAGGTGAAAGATTTATACGATAAAAACTACAGAACCCTAAAGAGAGAAATAGAAGAAGACCTTAGAAGATGGAAAAATATACCCTGTTCATGGATAGGAAGAATTAACATCATCAAAATGGCGATATTACCCAAAGTTCTCTATAGGTTTAATGCAATGCCAATCAAAATCCCAAGGGCATTTCTTGTAGAAACAGATAAAGCAATTATGAAATTCATATGGAACAACAAAAGACCCAGAATAGCAAAAGCAATTCTAAGTAGGAAGTGTGAGTCAGGCGGTATAGCGATAACAGATTTTGAACGCACTGGTACCAAAACAGGCGGGTGGACCAATGGCACAGAATAGAGGACACAGAGACCAATCCTCAAAATTACAACTTTCTTATATTTGATAAAGGGCTAAAAGCATGCAATGGAGGAAAGATAGTATCTTCAACAAATGGTGCTGGGAAAACTGGAAATCCATATGCAACAAAATGAAACTGAATCCCTTTCTCTCGCCATGCACAAAAGTGAACTCAAAATGGATCAAAGAGCTTGATATCAAATCAGAGACTCTGTGCCTGATAGAAGAAAAAGTTGGCTCCGATCTAATATTGTTGGGTTGGGCTCCAAATTCCTTAATAGGACGCCCATAGTACAAGAGTTAATAACTAGAATCAACAAATGGGACGTACTCAAACTAAAAAGTTTTTTCTCAGCAAGAGAAACAATAAGAGAGGTAAATAGGGAGCCTACATCATGGGAACAAATTTTTACTCCTCACACTTCAGATAGAGCCCTAATATCCAGAGTATACAAAGAACTCAAAAAATTAAACAATAAGAAAACAAATAACCCAATCAACAAATGGGCCAAAGACCTGAACAGACACTTCTCAAAGGAGGACATACAATCAATCAACAAGTACATGAAAAAATGCTCACCATCTCTAGCAGTCAGAGAAATGCAAATCAAAAGCACCCTAAGATACCATCTCACTCCAGTAAGACTGGCAGTCATTATGAAGTCAAACAACAATAAGTGCTGGCGAGGATGTGGGGAAAAGGGTACTCTTGTACATTGCTGGTGGGACTGCAAATTGGTGAGGCCAATTTGGAAAGCAGTATGGAGATTCCTGGGAAAGCTGGGAATGGAACCACCATTTGACCCAGCTATTGCCCTCCTCAGACTATTCCCTGAAGACCTTAAAAGAGCGTACTACAGGTATACTGCCACATCGATGTTCATAGCAGCACAATTCACAATAGCTAGACTGTGGAACCAACCCAGATGCCCTTCAATAGATGAATGGATAAAAAAAATGTGGCATTTATACACAATGGAGTATTACTCTGCACTAAAAAATGACAAAATCATGGAATTTGCAGGGAAATGGATGGCATTAGAGCAGATTATGCTAAGTGAAGCTAGCCAATCCCTAAAAAACAAATGCCAAATGTCTTCTTTGATATAATGAGAGCAACTAAGAACAGAGCAGGGAGGAAGAGCAGGAGGAAAAGACTAACATTAAACAGAGACATGAGGTGGGAGGGAAAGGGAGAAAAAAAGGAAACTGCATGGAAACGGAAGGAGACCCTCATTCATATAAGAGGTTGTGAGGGGAATGGGGAAAAAAACAAGGAGAGAAATGAATTGTAGTAGACGGGGTAGAGAGAGAAGATGGGAGGGGAGGGGAGGGGAGGGGAG